GGGAGCCCAACATGGGGCTCAATTACAGGACCCTGGGATCATGACCTGAGCTGAAACCAAGAGTCTGATGCTTAACCAGCTGAGACACCCAGTCACCCCTATTTGGGGAACTTTCTTACATGTATTTTCCAGCAGACTAATTCTCTGTGCAGCTACATCTGACCTAATATTTAACCTATCCACTGAGTTTTAAATTTCAACAACTTTTGTTTTTAAAATGTTTATGTTCTCTTTGGTTTATCTCCAGTCTTTTTAGACAGTCTTTTCTTTTATCATTTTTTAATTCCTTCTTTCAGGTCTAAGAAATTTTAAACATAGTTGTTCTATAGCCAAAGATTCTAGTATCTAGTCACTGAGGGTCTAATTTTACAGAGATGCTCAGGAGTTCAGGTTTAGTTGAACTCTTTTTGTGGGAATACTGCTTGGCCTCAATTGAGAATGTTAACCTCAGGAGAGGATTTCTATTTTGCTTCACCTCAATGCTGTAGGATTAATTTTATATTAAATTTTTACTTTGGGTTTCTCAATCTATGAAGTAATGTAAATGCACCAACGAAAGTACAGATAGGACTGAGGTTGTGAATTCCCAGGGGAGACCTCTTCCCCTCCAAAAGGAGGAGAACCTAAAGCTTTCTTGTCTTGTCTTTGTGCTGACAGATGGATGGCCCTCTATATCATACTTTCACCAGGTCATGTTTCCAGGGACCTAGCTTAACGTGAAAGCCTCACTTCCAACTCTCCACTTTGCATACGTACAAGGTTTTGCCCACGGCACCTCGAGACAATTATAATAAACCTAAGCACAGGGCAGGGGCGGCAGCAACAGTGGCCCAGGGGCTGCTATGGGTTTCAGTCCTTTTTAGTTCCCAGGAAACTGAATTCTCTTCTACTTATTTTCAGATCTCAACACAAGTAACACTTTCTCACAGAGGCCATACAATGTAAGTCAGGGACCTGCTATCCATTTTCATAGCCCCTTCTATTTTTCCTCCATTGTACCTAATTGTTTGTAATTATGTTTTTTAAAAAATATTTTACTTATGTATTTGAGAGAGAGAGAGAGAGAAAGCACGAGTGGGAGGAGGGCAGGGGGAGAGAGAGAAAGAGACTCTCCTGCTGAGTGTGGAGCCTGATGTGGGGTCGATCCCAGGACCCTGAGATCACGACCTGAGCTGAAACCAAGAGTCTGATGCTTAACCGACTGAGCCACCTAGGCGCTCCTGCAATTATGTTTAATAGTGTATTAAACTGCGTATTAAATAGTGTATTAGGCTGTTTGTCTCTCTCACTAGACTGTTAGTTCCATGAGGGCAGGAATCATTTGCTCATCACAGTAGCTAGTCTGGCACATCACAGGAACAAAATAAGTATTTGCCAAATGAATACCATGAATGTGTGTGTGGAGGGAAGGGGAAATGGATGTTAATATGCACACAGCTCTTCAAGGAAAGCAAAGGGCTGAAATGGAAGAAAAAAAGAGAACATTTTATTGTAAGTTTTCAAAATTTCAGTAAACCCATGGCAAATCCCTGGGTAGCCATTTCTCAATGCAATCAAACTCCTGCATATCCCCGTTCTTGGTTCCCTTTTCTTTTAATTGAGATGTAATGTTCATATCTTAAGTACGCCATCCAATCATACAAATACATACAACTCACGTAACACACACCTCTATAAAAATGTAGAATGTTTCCATCAATTTAGAAAGTATCCTCACCTCTCTTCACTATCCCCATTCTCAGAAAATAGTCCCTGATGTGATTTCCATCACTATAAATCAATTTTACCTATTCTAGAATATCATACACATGGATTCATGTTGTACACATTTTTGGTGTGTGATGTATGAAAATTCCATTTGCTCCACATCGTCTCCAACAATTGGTGGTGTCAATCTTTTTTATTTTAGTCATTCTAGTGGGTCACTATGGTTTTAATTGACATTTTCCTGATGATTAATGACATCAAGCACCTTTTTATGTGCTTATTGCCCATCTGTATATCTTCTTCTGTGAAGTTCTGCCCAAGCCTTTAGACCATTTAAAAACTGGGCAGGAGTCTGAGGTGCAGGGATTCTTTACATAGTTTGTCCTTTGTCAGACTTGTGTTGCAAATATTTTCTTTCCGGCTGTACTTTGTCTATTTTTTAAATAGTATCTTTTAATGAGGAAATAATTTATTTTCAATAAGATCCAACTTACCAGTTTTTAATGGCTCGTGAATTCTCTAAGAATTCCTTGCCTGATCCAAGGATATGAAGATATTTTTCTGAGCCTTCTTTTAGTAGCTTTATGGTTTTAGCTTTTATGTTTACATTTATGATACATTTCAAACTGGTTTCTATGTAAAGTATGAGGAAGGGGTTGAGGTTATTTCATATAAATATACAATTGTTCCAGAAGCACTTGTTAAAAAGATTTTCTCTTCCCAATTCAATTTTTTTTGTCTTGTCAAAAAGAAGTCATTTGACCTTATACATATGAGTTTACTATATGGATGACCTATTTGTCTATCCTTTTGCCAATATCACACTTTCTTGATTACTGTGGCTTTCTGTAAGTCTTGATGTCAAGTAGGGTTAAGTCCTTCAACTTTGTTATTTTTAAAGACTCTTGGTTTTTCTAAGTCCTCTGGTTTCCAAATATATATATATATTTATTTATTTTAAGGTTTTACCCATTTATTTGACAGACAGAGATCACAAGTAGGCAGAGAGGCAGGCAGAGAGAGAGTGAAAAGCAGGCTCCCCACTGAGCAGAGAGCCCGATGTGGGGCCTGTTCCCAGGTCCCTGGGATCATGACCTGAGCCAAAGGCAGAGGCTTTAACCCACTGAGCCATCCAGGTGCCCCTCCAAATGTATTTTAAAATCAGTTGGCCAATTTCTTCGAAGTCTATTGGGATTTTGACTGGTACTGAATCTATAGATTAATTTGGAAAAATGTGCCCTCCTAATTATACTGAATCTGAATATTCCATGGCATACCTCTCCACTTACTTAGGTTTTCTTTAATTCCTCTCAACAATATTTTATAGTTTTTAGTCTTAACATCTTTCATTCAATTTATCCATAAGTATTGGATGTTTTTTAATCTTATAGTAAATGGTGTTTTTTTCCTAAGTTTAGTTTTCTAATTACTCACTGCTAGTAGATGGAAATATAATCAATTTTTTTACATTGCCTTTCTATCCTGCAACACTGCTATAAAGTCATGTATCTGTTCTAGGAGTATTTTTTATAGATTCCTTAGGCCTGTCTTTACATTATCATGTCGTTTGCAAATAACAACAGCTTCACTTCTTCCTTTCCAACATTTATGCCCTTTTCTTCTTGTTATGTTATACTGGCTAAGGCGTCCAGTACAATTTTGAATTGGGGTAGTGAAAAGTGGACACCTTTGGTTGTTCTCAATATTAGGTAGGAGAAATACTCTAAAATTTAAACTTTCAGTATAATATTAGTTACAGAATTTTTGTAGGTGTTCTTTATCAGATTGAAGAAGCTTCTTCAACTCCTAGTATATTGAAAAATGTTATAAAAAATGGGCACTGTATTGTCGAATACCTTGTCTGCAGCTGTTGAAACGATCTTATAATTTTCTTTTTTTTTTTTTTTAAGATTTTATTTATTTATTTGACAGACAGAGATCACAAGTAGGCAGAGAGGCAGGCAGAGAGAGAGGGGGAAGCAGGCTCCCTGCTGAGCAGAGAGTCCAATGTGGGGTTCGATCCCAGGACCCTGGGATCATGACCTGAGCTGAAGGCAGAGGTTTTAACACACCGAGCCACCCAGGCACCCCTAATTTTCTTTTTTAAACTGCTAATACGGTGAAATACGTTGGTTGATTTATATATTAAATGAATCTGCACTCCTAAGATAAACCTCACTTGATTGTGGAGTACTCTCCTTTTTACATACTGCTGGCTTCAATTTGGTAATAATATTTTGTTAAAGGTGTTTTCATCCATGCTTATGAGAGAATTTGTTTATTGATTTTGTTTTCTTGTAATGGCCTTTTTTGTTTCTCTATCAGGTTACAGTAGCCTGATAAAATGACTTGGAAAGTGTTCCTTCTTCCTTTATTAAGAATTTATGTCAGGTTGTTATTATTTCTTCCTTAAGTATATGATAGTACTCTCCACTGAGCTTACAGTTTTCTTTGTGGAATTTAATTACAAATTTAATATCCTTAACAGATTTAGGACTATTTAGATTTTCTATTTATTCTTAGGTCAGTTTGGCTAATTTGTCTTTTTTTTTTTTTAAAGATTTTATTTTTAAGTAATTTCTACACCCCACATGGGGCTTGAACCCACAACTTCAAGATCAAGAGTTACACGCTCTACTGACTGAGCCAAGCCAGGCACCCCTAATTTGTATCTTTCAAGGAATTTGCCTATTTCATCTAGGTTGCCAAATTTATTAGCAAAAAGTTGCTCATGATATTCCCTTATTATCCTTATAATATTGTAGGGCCTGTAGCAATGCCCTTTCTTTCATTTGTGATTTTTTTTTTTAGAAGATTTTATTTATTTATTTGACAGAGAAAGAGACAGTGAGAGAGGGAACACAAGCAGGGGGAGTGGAAGAGAAGCAGGTTTCCTGTTGAGCAGGGAGCCTGCTGAGGGGCTCGATCCCAGGACCCTGGGATCATGACCTGAGCCAAAGGCAGATGCTTAACGACTGAGCCACCCAGGCGCCCTTCATTTGTGATATTAATAATTTGTGTTTTCTTTCCTTTTGTCTTGATCAGGATTTCTAGGGGGTAATTAATTTTATTGTTTTTTAAAGAACCAAATTCTAGCTCTTTGACTTTCTTGATTTATTTTTTAAAGAGTATACTGTAGATAAAATAAAGGCCTCTATATTCCCTTCCCTAAACCCACTCCTCTCCTTCTGTTTCTGACATACCTATAGTTTCATGTATACCATCACCCTACCATTTATATATTAAAATAATGCTAATTTCTGCTACTCTACTAGGACGTTCCATTTACTCACCATGTTTCCTGCTTCTGCAGCCAGCCGGGCAGCATAGCGAGCTATAAGTCGGTGTTCCTCATCCAGTCGGCTGGGACTGTCCAGGACACTGCCAAAGAGAAAAAAATTCAACAGGTATCTATTAAACATTCCCTACACTTGCTTTTCTCTTAGAAAGAACTGATGGGAGAAAGTTTGTAAAAAAGTATGGTAGCAAAAGAAACAGAGGCCTGGGTCATAGATACTAATGGTCTTCTGAGAAAGGTGGTTTAGAGAAACGATGAGCCCACACGTGCCCTTTCTCTTCAGCAGCATCCCCCCTGCTCCTACACCATCAGAAGGGGGCACTTCTTTTTGAACGCAAGGTCTAGGAAAAGACAGAGCATCTGCAAAGTCTGAGGGGAGGGAGGATTTCTAATCAAATGCTTTGGGAAAATGCATAACTTTTAGACATAGGTCTTAAATTTAAAAAGACCAAGAGAAAACTAAAGCATCACAAAAAATGGAGGGCTGAAGGAAAGTATGCTTAACACTGGGCAAAGAAAACCGAGGAGCTCAAGCAAGGGCAGGTCCAACCTATGGTAAAGTTGGAGACGAATCCATGGTATCAAACATTCGCTTTCATGCTTCTTTCCTGTCTTTTACCATGTTTGTTCCACAATTATAGCTCCATCTTCGAGTGAATTAATTCAGTCTATTACTCTTTCCTAAGAGTACCAGCATCCTAACTTTAAGGTCTTTAAGACCTACATAGGTGGGCTCTCAGATGCTGCTGCGCCTGGATGAAGCGTTCTTGAGTAGCGGGCCAGCTCTGTGTATACGTGGTATAAGGACCTTTCGATTGGATAATGAAATAACTGACTCCTTTGGTTTAGCATGTTACACCAACTCTCATTCACCCATCGCAGGGCACTCTCCGATCAATAGGGACTGTGGCTACAGAATTGTCTGTTGAAGTCTGGCAGGTGTTTTAAGGTAACAGAGGTGATGATGACTGATCACAGATGGATGTCATGGTCTGCTTCTACTGTGGCCCTTGTTTCTTGGCCTTCCAAAAACTTCTGCATGGAATTTAGCAACATGATGAGTAATACAAAAAAATTTAAAGACATGAGTCCAATACTCATCAAATCTTGTAATAATTACTTGGGGGAGGGAATCCAGGAAGGAGGAAGTTAAACTGATAGAGCTGTGTCTGAGCTTTTCATGTATAGAATCAATTGGATTTTTCCTAGATTTTTTCACCTTTCTGTTTCTATCGTTGTGGCTACTTCTTTAAGATTTACTTGGTTTTTCCTCTAGGATGGATTTTTTAAAATGTGCTTTCTTTTGCCTGCGCCACTTCTGAATACTTTATAATTTGAGGTATGCAAACCTGAGTCTGTATCATCATCCTCTAACAAGATGATCTTGTAATAAGAATATGCTACCATCAGTCAGCTTTAACACACTAGGGTCAAGGCCCCAAGGTCAAGGCTGAACTATAATATTCGTGCCTTAAAGTTGTTTGTTGGAAGTAAGAGAACTACCTTTATCTTTAAAAAAAAAAAAGAACATTTACTTATACAAGTGGATAAAATTAAAGAGGGACTGGCAACCTAAGAAATGAGACTTAGAGTGGCTGCCCTTTGTTTTGGCGAGGGATATAACTAAAACTTCATTTTTTCCTCTGTGCAAAAAGGCTCCCCTTCTTCCACCATGTTCCATCTCCCTAGGAAGGTTAATTCTACTTGTCATTTATACCCAAGTGTGGACGACATGGTTGCTTTAATTGGCTATGCTTTCCAGCCAGAAACTAGAACTTTATGTTGATGAGAGGTTTTAAGGTCAATGAGAATTAAGAGGAAAATTAGAAAGGTTCCTTATTTTTCCGCTTGAGCTGACTTTCATTTTCAGAATTAGCCAGGAAATTTCTGCCTTCTTTGAGGAAGCATGAAGCTCAGTTCCTTAGACTACAGATCAAGAAGAGATGTAGTACTTACCCAGTCCTCACGTTCTGCGCGGGCTCTCGGCCACCAGTTCCTGCTCAGGAAGCCTAAACCCTAAGCCAGGTTGCTTAAGGACCTTAGCTAAACCTCCCAAAAATTTTTGGGAGCTGAAATATCAGGTTGCAATCTCTGCCAACATTCTGCTTCTATTTTCACCATGGAAACTTTTAATCACCTGGACAACTGCCCTTACTGATGAGAAGTGAGCTGTCCTGCCAGGGATGAGACAACTTTATTCCTAGAGACCCATGGAGCCGGAACATAGTGCACAGAAATCATCTGTTGGCTGGAGAGACACTCTTGGGTGACATGATGCAGTTATTAGGCCTCTCCTTCCTTCCTGGAGGAAAAGCCTGTTAAATGTACTTGGGAAGTAGGAAAGTAGACTTTAGAGTTAAATAAATGCCCCAAAATACCAATACTATTTAGTCACACTGGCTAAACTATGGAAAATGGCATGAAATATAATAGAGAAATAGTCCTTTCCAAATATATATTTTTCACATGATTATTTATTCTTGTCATCACAGGAAATAAAAACAAGGTCAGCTCACCTTCTTACGAAGCCAAGGCATGTTCTGGGCAAAACTAAGATCAAAATGTAAGGCTCCAGACTCCTTATGTGCTTCGTTAATAAATTAGGATTCCTCTCTAAGAATTAAGAGTCTATCTGCTGCTATGTAGAGACTGTGTAGAGATTACTTTAATTTTCCCTGCTGTTCTCCCTGCAGACCGGTGGTAGGTAAGCCTACCTACCAGAGTGGATAGGTAGCCTTGGGTCTACCTGAATATAACAGCATTTAGTTTGGTATTAATTCTTTTAAAGGGTTAACTTTGCTATAGTTCATGGTTATCCAATGTTTTTCTATCCTGACCCACTGAGGAGTCAGGCATATCCCCACATTAACAGTGAGTCACTACCAGTAGTTTTCAGAGAAAGGGGAATATGGAGTTATTATAACGCGTCTAATGATCACATGTGGAGGCACATATCTTTTGGGAAAAGTCTCTCTCAGGTGGCAATGACCCAGTACCACTGTTGCAAACCACTGGTTTAAGTAATCAACAGTGATAGATTTGGGGGAAGAGATGAAGTTGTAACATGCAGAGATGTTACAGGGCGATGGTATCAAAGTTTAGACACAGTGAGATATCTACGGGTTGATCAACCCTACGCTCTGAATGTCAACAGAAAGGTTTCGATATTTAGTCAAGAATGATCAGTGAGAGGTTGCCTCAAACAGCTCTGTGAATGCGCATCTTGGGGACGGCATAGCTGCTGGAGATTTACATGGCCTTTCAGTGTAAGCTCAGGGACGTGAACTCCACTTCAAAACAGCATTTCTGACTCTATGTTTAGGTAAGTGCCTGGGCTTGGCAAGGCTTCTTCTCTTTCAGAAGTTAATGCTTTAGCAATTATTCCAACTCTGCCAAAGGTAACTGGTAGCGTCTCAAGAAAAACCCCCTATGCAGAGCTTTTTCCAGCTGGCAAGGCCAAGTAACAAGGCTCTCCCTCCCTCTGACCAGCCCGTGGCTGCCCGCCTGCTGCCGCTGCTCTACCACTGACCGTGCACAGTGCTGCAGACGGGCCACATAGGAGGCTATCAGCGCGTGCTCATCGGCCGAGTGACTGGGTATGTCCTGGCTATACTGTAACCTAGGAACAACGGAGGCAAAGACAGCAAGCACAACACACACACACACAGAGCGAGAAATGAACATGGATTAAACTGGGCAAACTTCAAAGAAAAATAGAAAAAAAAATCATGATAAGGAAAACAATAAAAAAAAACCACAATGCATAATGGAATATGGTGTTAGACCATAGAAAATACATTTCACCAATCCTTTGAACAAAAGCGGTGTCTTAGGAAACAGCCTTTGCTGACTGACACTTCAGCCTCGGAACAGGAGAAACTAAGGAGGGGTCACCAGGAAGCCTTGCCCACCAATCTTATCTAGGTTCTGGGCTCTGGGATGGATGCTCCTTTTGGGGAATGCCCAATGGCAGGAAAACAGGCAGAGTGGGTCTATTTAACATCACCAAATGCCCCCTGATGTTTTAATAGCTTTTGTCTACAAGTAAAGAATTTTCAGGATTACTTCATGATACCAGTTAAACCCTTTTATTTCTATAAGGACATTGCCTTTAGCATCATTCTATTATCTCCCATAAAGCTGATACTTACACCAAACTTGTCAGAATTATTCCTCATTGTAAGACAACACTGCACACATTCTGAGGCTTTTATAGACATTCAGAAGGTCTTTAAGCCCAAGAGTTTCTAAAAATGTTTTACTCCAGGAATGTTAACACATGCACAAAATGGAGAGTAAATTAATGACTACTTTTCATGTACCCATCACCAAAGTTCAACAAAAACTAACATTTTGTCAACTTGTTGAATATATTCTTCCTTCACCCAACTTTTTGTCTAGAAAGAGATGGCTGAAGCAAATCCCAGACAATTTATTATTTCACTTGGGAATACTTAATTTACACAACCACAGTGCCATCATCACACCTAAAAAAATTAACAAGAAAATTTTAACTCAATCCCTCTGAAAATTTCCTCAAATCTTAAAAAACATCCATCTACATTTAGAATCAAGATTCCAACAAGGTCCACACACATTGCATTTGGTTGATATGTTTCTGTTTTTTAATATGTAACCGTCCTTCCTTTTCCTTGTTTCTGTCATGTCATTTATTTGTGAAGAAAGCAGGTTATCTAGTAGCATACCCAACATTCTGGATTTAACTGTTTCCTTGGTGCCATTTAAGTTGTTTCTCTACACCCTGTGGCTACAGCTAGAGATCTGATTAAAGCTTTTGCTTTCATTTCATTTTTTGAGAAGGGGCTAGAATCTGTTGTAGGTAATATGGTGCACTTATACATCAAATAGGGGACACACAATGGAATAAAAATATTGCTCACTGGATTCAGGTAAATTTTTACAAATTTGATAAAAACTATAAACATGATTACATCTTATTGGCTGATTGATTGATTACATCTCTCCATTATAAAGTCCCCCATCAACTTTTCACCTAATGGATTTAGCATTTACTGATGATTTTGACTAGATTCATTATTTCTTGGGTGGGGGGGGCAGGTTTACGAAGACCCAGTTTCCAATTTTATCATCTTTTCTGCATTTATTAGTTTTCTCTCTTTGCTTATCTTGAAATATTAATAATTCAGAAAAGGTAAAACCAATGGTTGGCATTTCTTACTATTTAACAAATTTCAGAACAATGAATTAGTGCCCTAGCAACCTCCAATGGGTACCAAAGAGTTTTCTTTTTTAGTATCATTAAGAACTCATAGATTTTCATGTATCTGATTGCTACAATCATCTTTTTGATGCTCAAATTGTCCTATCTTTGGCCAGTGGGAGCTGCTGTAAGTAGGCTCCTGTGTTAATCTAATACAGCCATTAGATATCATCAGCTTCCTTGGTTGGCACAGTAAGATGCCCCAGTCTCATCGTGTATGTCCTGCCCCACTCTTGGAATCAACTATTCCTTCAAGGACTGCAGTTTCCTTTTACCAGGAAAGAGTGTTTAGAGGTCACAGTTAGCGTACTAGGGTGCTCCTTGTTCCTGGGTGATCAATGCTTCTAGAATTTTTCAGTCGATAAAGCTAGGAAATCTATATATTTTAGAAGGAATAAAAACAGGTTCTCTTACTACTTTCAAATGCCATTCAATTTTCTGCTAGCTTGCATTGTTTTTTTAAGATTTTATTATTTATTTGAGAGAGAGAGCACGCAAGGACAAGCAGGCGGGATGGCATGCAGAGGAAGAAGCACTCTCCACTGAGCATGGAGGCCGATGCGGGGCTCGATCCCAGGACCCTGGCATCATGACCTGAGTGAAGGCAGACACTTAACCGACTGAGCCACCCAGGCACCCTGTGTGCATTTTTTTTTTTTAAGATTTTATTTATTTATTTGACAGACAGAGATCACAAGTAGGCAGAGAGGCAGGCAGAGAGAGAGAGGGAAGCAGGCTCCCTGCTGAGCAGAGAGCCCGATGTGGGACTCGATCCCAGGACCCCGTGATCATGACCTGAGCCGAAGGCAGCGGCTTAACCCACTGAGCCACCCAGGCACCCCTGTTTTTAATGAGGAATCACTTCAAAAATCTTATCTTTCTTCTACTGTATAGAACATCTTTTTTCCTCTAGATGCTTTTAATACTTTTTCTTCATCACTGGTTTTCAGCAATTTGACTGTGATGTACCTTGGTATGGTTTTCTCTGTTTATCCTGATTATAGTTGTTGAATTTTTTGTACTTATGGGTTTATAGTTTTTATCAAATTTGTAAAAATTTACCTGGAAATTTGGAAAAAAATATTTCCTGAAATACTTTTTCTCTCCTCCCTCTTCTCCTTCCCCCTCTCCTCTCCTCCTAATCCTGTTGGGCTGGTTGCCACTGTCCCAGAAGTCTTGGAGGTTCTGTTCATTTTTCAGCATTGTATTTTGGATAGTTTGTATTGCTATGTCTTTAAGTTCAGTGGACTTTTTCTTCTGTAATTTCTGATATACTGTTAAATCCATTCATAGGCTTTTTCATTTCGGGTATTATCTCCTTCAACTCCAGAAGTTCTATTTTTTAATTTAAGACTTTTTGTCACTGAAGTAGAATATATATGCAGAAACTTCAATTATGTTTATAGGTGGTTCTTTTTTATTTCAATTTTTTCCTCATTATGCTAATATTTTCCTTCACATTTTTGGTATTTATTGTGCTTGGGTTTTCGTTTAAGATTTTTATTTATTTGAGAGAGAGACAGAAAGAGAGAGAATGAGCAGGGAGGACAGGTGAGGGGGGCAGACTCCCTGCTGAGCAGGAAGCCTGACATGGGGCTCAATCCCAGGACCTGGAGATCATGACATGAGCCGAAGGCAGACACTTAACCCACTGAGCCACCTAGGTGCCCCCTCTTCTGGCTGTTTTGAAGTTCATCTCTGTTCATTGCATCATGACTGTTATTTCTGGATCTGTTTATATTGACTAATTTTTTTTAAGATTTTATTTATTTGACACACAGAGAGAGAGATCACAAGCAGGCAGAGAGGCAGGCAGAGAGACAGGAGGAACCAGGCTCCCTGCTGAGCAGAGAACAGAGGCCCTACTGTGGGCCTCATCCCAGGATCCTGAGATAATGACCTGAGCAGAAGGCAGAGGCTTAACCCACTGAGCCACCCAGCTGCCCCGACTAATTTTATTCTGGTTGCAGAACATAATTTCCTGCTGCTTTCTGTGTCCTATAAATTTTTATTGGATGATGGAAATTTTGAGGATTATGTTGTTGAATGTCTGGATTTCGTTTTCTTCTAAAGGATCTGGTAGCTAATTTACTTGTGGACGGATTTGTCCTTTTGAGGCCTGTGTTAAAGTTTCATTAGTACAGATGTTGGGTAACTTTTATCTAGGGCTATTTTCACCCTGCTCCTAAACTGTGGCCTGTCTGGGGTCTTTACCGAATGCTCCCAGTGTTTGATGATGTCACCACTCTGGTTGGTTGGAACTCAAACAACAGGCTGAGCTTGCGTAGCTGTTCCACTTTCAAATCTCTGGGACCTGTTCTTTCCCAGATAGTTGTTCTTTGGTGGTCTTGTGAAATCTCGTTCTATGCAAATGTAGCTTAGTTAAGGGACCTATGTGCAGGTTTACGGAGCTCTTTCCTGCATTCTTCCTTCCCTCTGGTGTTCCTCTTAGCAAATTCCAGCATTCCCAAACTCCAATCTCTCTCTCCTTATCCTCAGCAAATAGGGCTTACCCTGCTTGTCTCTAGCACTAGACTTTAGTAAATGCCTCCCAGTAGAAAGCCTGGGCAATCATTGGGCTCTCCTCATTTAGTTCCTTTCCCGCAGAGAACGGTCCTGCCCTACTTAATGTCTAATTTCCGAAAACAGTTGCTTAGTTAGAATAGTTTTCTGGAAGTTTATAGTGGGAGAACTGATCTGACATCAGCTACTTCACCATGACCAGAGGACATTCTCTCTGTAGTAACTCCGTTTTTTAAAGAAGATTTTATCAATTGATTGCTTTTAGAGAGTGTGCACAAGCAGGGGTTGTGCAGGGGAGGGGGCGGAGGGAGAGGGACAAGGAGAGTTGGTGCTGAGTGTGGAGCTGATGAGGGATGGTGGGGGGTGGAGGGGTTAGGTCTCATGACCCTGAGATCATGACCCTGAGATCATGACCCTGAGATCGTGACCTGAGCCGAAATCAAGAGCTGGCTGCTTAACCAGCTGAGCCACTCAGGCGCCCCTGTAGTAACTCACGTTTATACTTCTGTAAAGTATTGGTCTACTTCAAACTAGAAATCGGAACAAAACAAAACTGCTTCTTCAGAAGACAGACTGAAAAGTAGCAGTGTTATAGAAGGCCGCCATAAGGGCTTCAACTTTTACTCCGCTACGAGAAGGTGCTGTGGGTTTTGAGCAGATGCAGGGTATGCTGTAACTTCTCCTTTAGTAAGATCATCTGCACTATGGAACATGAAGTGTCAGAGAGTGGGGAAGAAGCAGCTAATTAGAAGCCTCCTACAACATTCCAGATGAGAGGAAAGAGTGGCTAGAAGGACAGTAGCTGCTGTTGAGGTGGTAAGAGATGGCAGGATCCTGGGCAGACTTTGACAGTG